GAACCTCGCAAAGCCTCCAGTTTCGTGGGCTCCTCCACGCGGGGGCAGCCAGGTCTGCAGATCCACAGGGAAGAAAGCCTGGAAATGAATGCTGATCCCCAGCAGGTGGAGAGGAGTCAAAAGCATCCCCAAAGTGCACTGTCTGGGAGTCCTAGACCCGGGACAGGTGAAGGGCACCTGTCTTCAGCCTTTAATGATCTAGGGAAGCCATTCTCTCTGAAGGCCGAGGGAGCCTGGAGTGGTAGGAAAGGCAAGGCAGGCCCCTGTGGTCGGAGAGTGCCTTCTGGATACAGCCACAGTTTGCTTTCATTATGCAAGGCAGAGAGGAATGTGTTGCTAGACACAGCACTACCACCGAGACAGGGGCGAGACAGTGCTGTGGCATGCACAGGGTTAAAAACATGGCTCGTGGTGGCTCACGCCTGTCATCCCAGCACGGTGGGAGGCCGAGGTGGGTGAATCACCTGAGGTCAGGAGTTTGAGACCAGTCTGGCCAACGTGGTGAAACCCCATCTCTACTAAAAAATACAAAAATTAACTGGACATAGTGGTGGGTGCCTGTAATCCCAGCTACTCGGGAGACTGAGGCAGGAGAATCGCTTGAACCCAGGAGGCGGAGGTTGCAGTGAGCCGAGATTGTGCCACTGCACTCGAACCTGGGCGACAGAGCGAGATTCTGTTAAAAAAAAAAAAAAAAGTTGCAGGGACTGCAAAGGATGTGGGGAAAGGACATTCCTACACAGCATGGGTGTGTGTTGAAGGGGGACAGACCCTGAACTGGGACAGCCTTCTAGGTGTGCAGGTGCAACGAGGCAGCCCCTGTCCTGTCCATGTGCAAAACGCCCAACAATCACCCACGGCTCTTGTCTACCAAACCCTACAGGCCTGCACAGGGGCATGAGGATGAAGATGCTGGGGACAGCATGAGTCCCACCTCGTCCACATCATGGAGCTCCATGCAGCCCCTCCAAAGTGGTGACGCAACAGAAAATGTAACGCGATGCTGTCACATTTTTAAAAGCAAATTGCAGAACAACACGCAGATCATGATGCCGTTTCTGAAAGAACAGAATTTAAAAAGATTCTCTCTGTGCACATTTATCTGTAGGTACAGAGAAAGGTCTAGAAGGATAAACATCAAACCTTTCACAACGGTTAATGCTGGTGGGTGGGAGGGAAAAAACGCTTTGAATTGAATTTTTTAAAATGCATGTATTCCTTTTGAAACTAAAATGATGTTTAAGCACACAAAAGAGGATCAAAGGCTGAGAAACAATGATTTCACACACTATGTTTGCAAGAACAAGTTATCCCCAAAGCAATTCCTACAGGTTCTGCACCTGTGTTGCTTTTATAAAGCAAGCACAGTGTAATGTGTAGGCACTATTGTCCTGAATGTTTTTTCCATGAAGGTACGTGTTAAGGATCCATAACTGGCAGAAGGGCATTTAAAATGCTTTTTTTCCTTTTAAAGAGACAGGGTCTCGCTATGTTGCCCAGGCTGCTCTCTAACTACCAGGCTCAAGCAATTCTCCTGCCTTGGCCACCCAAAGTGCTCAGATAACAGGTGTGAGCCACCATTCCCAGCCTGGCAGAATGGTATTTAAATAAAGGATGAGAATCCTGGGGAAGCTTTGAGGCCATGCCAAAGAGGGACATTATGTCTACAGCGATCTATCCCAAGACTTCTGGTTATACTGCTTCAAAATTACAGATTTTGATTAGCCCAGTAAAAATGGGGCAGCTATCTCTCTCTACTGACCCAGAACACAAGAAGAGAACAGCTGGTCCGTCCCCATACCCAGCCAGGTGGCAGCTGCACAGCGGCTGTGCACGTGGCAAAGGCCAGGTGAGGCGGCCCCATCAGAAACACTGGTGGCTGTTCCGGCCCCGACAGACCCACTCCAGGGAAGGGGAGGGGAGGAGGAATGAGGCTCTGAGAGCAGACCCTGGGAGAGGCTGAGACAGGCCGGACTGCACAGCACCTGCCTGCAACCCCCCAGTGGCATTTCAATTAAAGCCACAACCCTGCAGACCCCACCTTCCCCCAAAATGCTTTCAGATCAATTGTCCCGGAGCCTCGCTTCCACTAAAAATTACCTGTTCGTGGTGGTGTTTAGGAAGAGGTCTGTTGAAGGAGCGGCTATACCCTCTTTTGGGGATGTAGCCAATGCGACTGGGGACAAATGGTCAGAAAGGGCAGGTAAGGGATGCACAGGGGTGGGTCGGTCACCAGGGAGTGGCAGACACTCACGCTCCTCCTTACGCCTGGTTCCCCCCCAGTGTCTGACTAACCCCAGAACAGTGAGACCATTGTTTCGCCCCAAGATGGGGAAAGAATGAAATTCAGGATGTGGAACAAGGTGACCTATTTATAAAGCCTCCTTTCACCTGAAGATCACGTAACTTCCCTCCCTCTGCCGCCCGTCTCACACACCAGTGGTGGCAGCCCAGGATTCTGCAAGAGAAACATGCCCCGAGCGATCTGCTATTTTATCAGAATGAACCTCTGCAGCCTGGCTCAGCCGCCGCCTGGACTCTGCCTGCTCACTGGGCTCCTGTGCTCCCTCCAGCATCCTGAACATGAGTGGCAGGGACACTCTTGGTGGTGGAAGGGCTCAGGGAATGCTCCGTGCTGGCTGGGCCATGGAGCTCCTGGCAAAGGGGCCACCGCCAGCAGGGCTTGTGACACGTGGTTACCACCCTCCACCCCTCACCCTACCAACCGCCAACTTGAGGAGGGACCCCTCAAACAGGGATATAAAAATAAGTCTGTGCCCCTAGAATCAACAGGATCCTTCTGGAAAGTTCTGACAAGTGATTTTGGAGAGAAAATCCCACACGGTCCACAGCTCTAGCTGCTGACCTCAAAAGACCCAAAATGCACCTGCTGTAAACGCCTATGGAAGGGCCCAGATGACTCACAGCACTTTCAGAGGGCTCGAATCAGTGGAGCCACGGCCTGGGAAACCAGCATGATATTCATACAGAGACTGAAAATTACAATAAATCGCAGCTGTAGCCTAGGCAGGGTGACGAGGACAACGAACTGTGCCTGGTGCAGACGAGAAGCCAGTTCTTGGAGGGACCCCAGGGACAAACAGCAACCTTCCCGAAAGGTGACCCAGATAGCAGCAGACATGCTGTCCCACGGCAATGGGAATAAAATGGAGACTATGGACCACCAACACTGCCTGGCCTCGGGGGTCACACACGGGGTCCACCTGGTTCACACAGGCGGTGGGGCGCCCCAAAGAGTAGAGGCAGAAAGCCAGGGCCAACAGCAGCCCCGCGGCCATCTCCAAGAAAAGAGTCACCAACAGGATACCCACGGGACAGGCTCAGAGACCTGGTGCTCCTTGCCCTCTGATCCCCGGCAGCTCCCCAGAAGGCAGGAGACGGGAGCTCGAGGCAGGGTGGATCCGGTGGGCCCAGTGACTCCCAGGAGGAGGCTCTGCAGAGAAGCTGGTTCTCTGGAAGGGCCTTGCTCCAGCCTAGCCTCCCGAGGGACTCCAGAGCTCAGGGTTGCCTGGCTGAGAGGAGGAGGCTGGAGTGCATCCAAAGTCTGCCACTTCCCCCCAACAAGGCAGTCTCCTGGACACAGGGGATCCAACCAAACTCAGGCTTTCAGGGTGCCAAGGCCTGAATGGGAGGCGGTGACACACTGATCTCTCTCTGTGGGATGTGCCAGCTGGCAAAGGTCACCTCTGGGAGTGGTCCTTGGGTCACCCTCATGTCCCTCCAGGGACAATAAGCAGGAGGGTAACCAGGAAGGGGCTGGGGAGAGGATCTGAGGACTCAGGAAGCATCAACCCAGAGAGATTTCAGGGGTCATCACCCAGCCTACGTGAGAGTCAGGGGGCCGGGCATCCACGCGTTCCCCCCTGAGGCCCAGGCGGCTGCCCTCAAACCACCTGGGGGAATAGGAAGGGCAATGTTCATGATTTCACCACAGAATCGCCTAACTAAAGCTCCAGGCACAAAGTAGGAGCTTCATACATGCCGCTCCCTGCCCTCCCCTTGCCTCCTCTCAATACCTGAGGCTATCGGGGGACACCTGATAGCTTGGAATCTTGAATGCCAAGTGCAGGAGAGCACTCAGCCGGGGAATGCCATGGCAGGTGCTGGTCCTACAGCTCACAGGGGTGACCCAAGTTGCTTGGCCCCGTCACCAGACCCACAGGCCTCCCTCTATCTGGCAGTGAGGAAAACAGGAAAGGCCCTGTTTTACAGGAGTGGTTCTCAAAGTGGGGTCTCAACCCGCAACATCAGTCAGCATCACCTGGGAACTCAGAGATGCAAATTCCTGACCCCGTTAGACTTTCTGGATCAGAAACTCCGTGGGGTGGCCTGAATTCTAGAGCCCTCCAGGGCACTATGATGAGGCCAGAGATTGAGAACCACTGGTTTCAAGGAATGATGCCTCAACAGTTTAGAATCTCAGATCTCTATTAAATGAAAACTATCAGGATTACACTTGTACCAGAATTTTAAAAAATTATCTTGATATGAAATATTTCAAATGTTAGACATTCTCATAAGAAATCTCAATACAGAAATGTAAAAAGCATAAAGTGTTTCCTCTCACCCACTGCCCAGGGAAGCACAGAGGTGTGTCCTTCTAGAACATTCTGGTGCATATGAGAATAGTCTATTTACAGCAACAGATCACACTGCAGATACGAATCCACAGTTTGCTTTTTCCATCGTAATATATTAGCTCCTCCATGAAATTTATGTTAGTGGCTGCATAATATCCCATTACGTGCTATTATAATTTTGGTGACATTCCCTCCTAGATGTGCATCTAGGCTGTTTGCTGTAATCACGGTCATGTGTGGGGAGTTAATTATTTCTCCATAACAGGATGGCCTTACAGCAGCTTCTTTTAATTTAGTTCACAGCCACCTCTCCTCTTACCGCTCTCAAAATCTTGGACCTCGGGACCATCCGCCCCACCATCCACTTTTAGAAGAAAATCAAGTGTCCAAGTAACCCACCTCCAGGTTCCTGATCTTTGCAACTGACTGAGGCAAGCCCAGGGTGGTGGGGAGTGTCTGTGGAGATAGCTGGACTGGAGGTTTCTCAACTGGACCTCAACTGGATCTCGGCCAATGAACCTGAGAGGATTGTAAAAGGACTTAGGCTGTGCGCCTCCTTGTGCAACCCAATCGCCATTTCCCGTGTGGGATTTCACGGAACTGAGCAGGATGCCAAGGGAGGGGTAAATCCCGGGGCCTCCCAGGCAGGTGGTGAATAAAAAAAGGACTTCAACATACTTTTTAGGCCACAGTAACCTTTGGGCACTTCCTCTTATATGCCAGAGGTCTCCCTCCTCCAATTCCATCAACCTGGAACACACGGGTCAATACTCAAGAGGGGAGGGTCCCAGCAAGTTCAAAGGCAGTGAATAAATTCATCCTCAACTTCCCAGGCAAGTAGAAAGGCCTGGGGGCCAGAATGGCATGGCACCAGCTCGTCACATATAGGATAAGGCAAGGAGTGTGGAAGTGCCTCCCCAGCTAGCGAGTGGAGTGTTACCCACCAAAAATGCTAATGGGGGCTGGGTGTAGTGGCTCACACCTATAATCCCAGCACTTTGGGAGGCTGGGGTGGACAGATCTCTTCAGCCCAGGAGTTCAAGACCAGCCTGGATAACATAGGGAAACCTTGTCTCTACAAAAAATACAAAAATTAGCTGGGTGTAGTGGTACATGCCTATAGTCTCAGCTACTTGGGAGGCTGAGGTAGGAGGATTGCTTGAGTCCAGAAGGTTGAGGCTGCAGTGAGCCAAGACTGCGCCACTGCACTCCAGCCTAGGCAACAAAGTGAGAGTCTGTCTCAAAAAAACAAAAAACAAAAAACAAAAAACCTGCTAATGGGAAGGATCTCTGTACAAGAGGGCAAGGGAAAAGGTTTCCTATGTCAAGTGAAAAAAGGGTCATAACTGCATCTGCCCTGAGACTAAAACCTAGAAAAAACTGTATTGGCATACTCAGGAGAGAGGTAGAAAGGAGCCTGGAGAAATGAAAATGTCGCTGTGTGTAGAGTGATGAGCTTATGAGCTCCCTCCCTTTTAAATTTCTTTACTGTTGTTTTGTTACTGTTGCAAAAACACAAATGGATGAGCCCGAATGTCCATCGATGGACGCATGGATAAACAAATTGTGGTATACACATTCAGTGGAATATTATTCAGCCATAAAAGTACTAGTGCATGCTACAGTGTGAATGAACCCCAAAAACTTTAGATTAATGTGAAGGAAGCCAGATATAAAAGGCCACACATTGTATGATTCCCTTTCGATGAAATGACCAGGATAGGCAAATCCATAGAAACAGAAAGCAGACTGGTGCTTGCCTGGGGCCAGGAAGCAGGGGGATGGGAAGTGGCAGAGGTCTCTTTTAGGGGTGATGAAACTGTTTTGGGACTCGAGCCTCTTTTAGGGGTGATCAGACTGTTTTGGGACAAGACAGAGGTGGTAATATACCATATTGTGAATGGACTGAATGCCACCGAATTGTACTCTGAAAAAGATGAATGTTAGGTGAATTTCACCTCAATAAAAAATAAATAAATAAATAAACGGATGAAAAATGTCCACCTCTCCAAGATCCACATGGACAGGGGGTGGGTGTGGATGGGGGTGCAGGGCAGAGAGAGGCACAACCTGGCTGGTTGGACTGGGCTTGTTAGCCCAGAGTTACACAAAAGGACACCGTTAACGACGCTCAGATGTGGGGAGTAAAGAGCCTTTGAGAGCAGAATTGCTGCAGGCCAGGCCTCTGCCCCTCCCCTTTCTGTTCTCCAAAGGAAAAAGTACAGTGCCGTGGTTTGGCAGCCCTTGCTGCCCCGAGACAGCACCTGTAGACCGAGTTTCTCCGGAGTTCGGGATGTGTGCCTGCATCTCCACCCCTGGGCCCAAACTGTGGTCTGGGGAGGGGATGACCCTGCGGGCTGGCGGGGGATGAGGACATGGGAGAACAGATGTCAGGGTGATCCCTACCCTGGGAACAAGGCAGGAGGAGGCAGGAGAGGAACGTTTGGATTCCTAGGCGCCTACTTTCTCACTGAGCAGGTCGACACCCTGAGGCAGCTCCAAACTGGCAAAGGCCCTACCTTCTGCTATCAGGGAATCACCCAGCCACCGGGATCCACCGTGCTCTCCCACGAATGATGCTAGAGCCTGACCGCCACTATCAGCTGTACCATGGAGTGTCTGCCCACAGCTAGGGGTGCCCCAGGCTGATCACAGGGTCTCTGGACTTGTCGCTATGCAAACCTCTTCTCATGGGCTGCATTTCTTCATTCTCAGGTGGAGGGATCATCACTCACAGGCCTGGCACAGCCGTGCCCACGGATCCTCTCCTGGCCAGGCTAGCTCACACGGAACATGGGAAGCCGGCTGAGAACTCGACCATCCGAGGCCTGTGCGCTGAGTTGCTTGCTCATCCATCCCACAAGTATCTGTTAAGCCCCTAAGACAGGTTAGAATGAGCTTCTCAAGACCTTGCTTTGTTTCTCAGTCCCTCAGTGCCTCAACAAGGTGGCCAATTCAAAAACACAGGCCAACTAGGCTGGGCACGGTGGCTCACACCTGTAATTCCAGCACTTTGGGAGGCTGAGGTGGGCGGATCACCTGAGGTCGGGAGTTTGAGACCAGCCTGACCAACATGGAGAAACCCCATCTCTACTAAAAATACAAAATTGGCTGGACGTGGTGGCGGACACCTGTAATTCCAGTTACTTGGGAGGCTGAGGCAGGAGAATCACTTGAACCCGGGAGGTGGAGGTTGCAGTGGGCTGAGATTGCACCATTGCACTCCAGCCTGGGCAACAAGAATGAAACTCTGTCTCAAAAAAACAAAAAAACAAAAACAAAAACACAGGCCAACGTGGTTAGTGTTCAGGAAGGGAGAAGAGGCCTTCCCCTGAACTGCTAGAAAACATCTTCCCCAAGGGGAAACTGGAAGGAACAAACAACATGGACAAGATGTCACCGGCAGAAGTGACCCAACCCGAGAGATGGTCTGGCAATGTTCAGCTGGTGAACAGTGGGAAAACACCCAAGTCCAAATAATGTGCCTCAGGGCTGGAATTCATTCCAAAAGTATTAAGCACCTACTGGATACACAGAACAGGCAGAACTTGCTGCCCTCAGGGAGCTTACTGTCTAGTTGAGGGAGGCAGGCAACATCCAATCATTTGAACAATGAGTGCAAAAGCTTCAGGGGAAGGGGCTGCTGGCAGTGGTTCTGCCCGCATCTCCGAACTCTCCCCCAGTGCCTCCCCCATGCCCTTGGGAAGCGGTGGCAGCTTGGGCATAGGTCTGCAGTGTACTGGTGGGGAGGGGTTTGTGCGCCCTGCTTCTCTGTTCTGACGCCAGAGGGCCAGGACCTAAGCACTGCGGGAAGTTTCTCAGAAAAGTAACTTGGATCTGGAGTGTGCCTATTCCATTTATCACATTTTGAAAACACAAGGGGAAAAAAGGGGAACTGGAAAAAAGGGAAATTGGCCCAATCTCCATTGAATGGGCTAGTCCAGGACAGCAATCAGGGCCGGAAGAGGAAGAGACAAGAACAGAGGCACTTGCTTGTCCCGGCAGAGTCAGCCCAGTGTTGGAAACTGAAGCCCAGGACTGGCCTTTTGAGCTAGACAGTCTTCTCACGTTCCCGCTCTGCCTCCCCGCACTGCGGCCAGGTACACATGAGGACTACAAATGTGCATTTCATGTGCTTGCCTTGCTGGGCAGAGCTGCTCCGCGACATCAGACAGGGTGCCTTGAGAAAGGTATTTCCTCTGCGAGCTGGACTTTCCATAAAATAAAAAACAGCAGCATGTTACCTTTGCAGGCAGAGGGGCGAGCAGGGGACGGTTGCGTCCCACGCCCCTCAGTGGCAGGGAAGGCCAGCCACATCACAGCACAGGCGGCTCAGACCACAGACCCAGGTGCTGTGGGGACCCTCCCCAGCCCCACAGGCTGCCGTCTTCCCGCCAGGCGTGGAGTTTCCACAGCTGGAGGAGGACCAACGTCCTCTCCGCCGAACACACTAACTATTTCTAACATGGTCCCAAGTTTCCGTTCCCATATCAAAAGCGCCTCTTTTCTGCTGAGGCAGCAAGACCTGCCAACAAAACAAGCCGCTGGGACCCACGTTTTCATAACACAACGCCTTGCCTTGAAATGCACTACAGTGAATCACTGAGGTTTAATTGTATCGGCAGCTGGGCCGGTGGCAGGAATCCGTGTGAAAGTTAGACCGCGGGGCTTGGGCCAGTCCCCAAACACCAGTGTCCCTGCCCTCCCCACCAGGCCCCTCCTCTGCTGATTGACAGCACCCCTTCTCTAGGCCCCCAAATGGAAAACCAGACAGGAGTGAGAGCCTGCCCAAGGAGAGTCTGTCTCCTTTCTTGAGAACAATTCCTGTAGGGGCGAGGGAACCAGTCACGCTGTGTGCCCTGCACCCGGGGACCCTAGGGCAGCCCACAGACTGTCAGCCAGGAGCTTGCTGGAAATGCAGAGTCTCGGGCTACCACCCCTGAATGGCACTGGCCCCAGACCTCCGGGTGACCCGCGTGCCCAGCTGGTTCAGCGCTGTCGGTGGGGGTCCTCCCGAGGTGGGGGGCTGGAGGAAACACACATGAGAAGCAAAAGGTGGAGGGGCTTCCATCCTTCTCCAAGTCAATCCGAAAATACAACTGACCTGAACCAGCCACATCTAGAGGCCGACCTGTGCCACGGAAGGAGCAGGCAGCATCCCCTGTCCTGCCGCCAGGTCCACAAGAATGGGGGGCGGGGCACATAAACAGGCTGCGATCCCCTTGCCCAGACCCTGTAGAAGCTGTCAATCACTCAGGGTCTGGGAAGACAGAGGTCAGGGCAACCCTGCTGGAGGCCCCTCCCCTCCTCACAGGCTCCCCACTCTCCACCCTCCAAGCCCCTGACAGGCCCTCTCAGCTTCTCCAACGGTCCCTTAGACACGAGTGGCCACACCAGCCCTGCTAGTTCTTAAGAACCACATGAGTTATAATGACGTGCTTTTCACTTCAAACAACCCCACCTGACAGGAATCCCATCTGTGTGGGATCTGCCAGTGCCCCCTCCTCCACGGAGCCTTCCCTGGTTGGCCTCCACTGCCGCCGTCTCAGAGCACCTCTCCTTCGGCTCCAAACTCGCCCCGGAATTATCTCAGGACCCTGGGTCCTGCCAGAACCTGGCCTGGCGGTCAGTCACGGCCCTGAGTCCTAGTTGAAGTCCACGCCCCACCCGAGACCACCCACGTGTGGCTGGCCAGTGAGCGTTCTCATGGTGTCCCAGATACCTACCGGGGGATCTGGAGTTCTCGAATGTTCCAGGCAAGTGCCTGGGAAAAGACCCAGGAGAAAAGCCCCACAGGTCCTCACCACTGGGGGAAAAATGACAGAAGAGGGGTGAGGGCAGCCCCTCCGGAGCCCCCGCAGTAGGGGGCGTCCCTGCTGTGTCCCCAGGCCTGCCTTGCCTGGGCTGGGTCAGCCCTGGCCCGAGCAAGCTCCACCGTCTCCAAGGGGAAGCGGCCCTTGGTTACCACTGGCCTGGAGAATCAGAAGGCAAAACAAACACTGGAGGC